CGTGCGCCACCATGCCCAGCTGAAAGATCGTGCCCCCTGGGTTCAAGGTCTAAATATAGAATTTCTAGCTAGGCATAGTGGCTGAGACAGGGGGATCACAAATTCAAGCCTTGACACAGAACTTGAAAAATATAAGTCCTTCCCAGCCTTGGGCAGTGCTCCCCCATCTCCTCCCTCTCCCCTATAGCTGTAACTCCTTGTTCTGGTACAGATAAAAGTAACAACTATGTCCTATAGACAAAGTTTATGACACTCTGATGATTCATAAGACACTGCCTTCTTTCAAGGCAAAGTTACAAAACTGTCTGTTCTTGTCCTGTTCCCATAAATTCACTTGCTACATCACTAGAAAAACCACCCCTTCAACAAAATGTGTAAAAGCTAAAATTTCTCCTTGTTCAACACTCAGCCATTTGAACACGGAGTCTGCTGAGCTGGTGTGTACACCTTAAACAAATCCTCCTGACTCCTGTTTGATCTCTCCCGTCTCTTCTGCAACAGCCCAGCCTGGACAGCTTAGTACTTTAAGGTAACTGTGCCTCAGAATAAGAAATGAAACAGGGATAGGGATGGAACTCAATCCAAAGGCTCTGGGTTCCATCCTCGGTCGTGTGTGTGGGTTATTGGCAGTCTTTTTCTCTTACACTCTGGGCCAACCAACCTAAGAGAAGTCAGCTGTGAATCTTACAGATGCTTCCTTGCCGTTTCCAGAACTCTCGGTCCTCGGTTTTTGAGTTTGATTATGATGTGCTTAGGTATGAACCCCCTTGGCTTATCTTAGGTTGTTGAGTTTCTTGGACATGCAGATTAATATTTGTCATCAAATGTGGGAATTTTCTACCATTATTCCATTATTCAAACATTCTTCCCTGTTCGTTTTGTTTAGTTTTGGTTTGGTTTGATTTTTTTTCTATTTTTATTTATGTTTGAGTTTTGATAATTCCTCAATCTTATCTTGAACACTGAAATTCTTTTTTCTGGTACCAGGGACTGAACTCAGGACTTTGTGATTGCAAAGCAAGCATGGCGCCACTGAGCTAAATCCCCAGTCCTAGTTTGATTTTTTGATACAGAGTTTCTCTGCGCAGTTCAGGCTGGCCTTGAGCTCACAGCAATCCTCCTGCCTCATCCTCTTGAGTTCTGGGATTACAGGCAGTCCCACCATACATGGTCCTCATTCCTCTTTTTAAGTGTATATTGGTACACTTAATGGTACTCAACAGGTCTCTGAAGCTTTGTTTATTGTTTCATTTGTATTTTGTTCCTTGGGTTAATTTCAACATACCTATTTTCAAGTTCATTGATTCTTGTTCTGCCGAATCAAATGTGCTATCAAATCCCTCTAGTGAATTTTTCATTGTAGATAACGTATTTTTCAATTCCAGAATTTGTACTTGTTCCTTTGTACAGTTCTATTTCCCCTTCGTTACTGTTTTGTGAACTGGACCTTGAACTCAGGGGTACTCTGTGCCTGAGGTACATCACCAGACCTTTAAATTTTTTGAGACAAGGTCTTGTTAAATTTTCTAGGCTGGTCTTGAACTTGCAATTTTCCTGCATCAGCCTCTCAAGCAGCTGGGATTACGGGTTTGTACCATCTACCTGGCTTGTTGCTATTTGTTAAGACTTTTTTTCCTTCTTTAGACATGGTTTCTTTTTGCTCTCTGACCAGCTTTAAAATAACTGTTACAATCTGGTACTAAGGGAAGTTAAAATGCCACAAAGTTTTTTTGTTTGGTACTGGGGATTGGACCCAGGACCTTCTCACTGAGCATATCCCCCGTTCCTTTTTGTTTTTGAGTCAGAGTCTTGCTAACCAAGCCAGGTTAGGCTCAAACTTGTGATTTTCTTACTTTAACCTCCTAGAGTTCTGGGATTACATGTGCTACCATACTCAGCTTTGTTGTTCTTTTAATTTTTAATATTTTATTTTTTTGAGACAGGGTCTTGCTATGAATTTTAGGCTGGTCTTGAACTATGTACCCTGCGCTGGCCTCCCAACTCTCAACAATCCTCCTGCCTCAGCCTCTGATTGCTGGAATTACAGGCATGCATCACCACACCTCACCTAGCTTTGTTGTTCTTAAAACTACTTTTTTTCTCAAATGAACACCTTCTAGATTTCTGAAAGTATTTGGTTAATTTCCAGAATTCTGTGAAAATTGTTTCTGATGATACCTGGAAGATTTTTTTCATTGTTTTTGTGAAGGAAGCAAACTTTCAATGGTTCTGACCAGACCATTTTTTCTGACATCTTGCTTGGATCTTGATTCAAACTACAAAGATATTTTGGGGTCAGTTGGCAAAAACTGAAAACAGGTTGACTGTTAATTAACATTTTTTGATAGGAAAATGATATTAAAGTCATATTCAAAGATGCTATTAGAGATATATACTAGCATTTAGCATTTCTGATATTTGCTTTCAAATATCAGCTCACACACTAGGAAAGTCTATGTGGGGAGAGATAAAATAATAGAGTACTTTGATCATTGTTGAAACTGTATGATGGATACATGAAGGTTCATTGTACTTTGTTTTTATTTGAAAACTTCTATAATTAAAAAAATTTTAAAAAGAGAGTTATCACTAGGGATTTAGCTCAGTGGTGTTGTGCCTGCCTCAGGTCCCAAGTTCAAACCCCAGTACCAAAAAGAAAGAAAAAAAAATAAGAGTTATTTTTTGATCCAAACAGAGCTGCCATAAACTAGGAAAAAGTAATTGAGTTCCTAACTGGCTTTGGGTAGAAGAGAGTAAAGCAATATCATGGACGATACTATGTGTGTTGGAGAATGAAGGTGAAGACATGGATTCAATCAGACATTCCCAGGACAAAAGGACAAATCACACAGCAAGCGAACAGTGGAACCATGTCACCATCTCTGGATCTGAAAGGTCAGGGAAATGACTGTCCAATCTAACTTAAGCCTGGCCCCAGCTCCCAAGTCCAAGGCCTCAACCCCCCATATTCCTCCATACCCCATCTCCAGCTTCTTTCATAGAGCTGGCGTGGGAAGAGGTGCACCCACCTGACACCATTCCATTCCATTTGACTTGAACAGCATTACAAGCAAGACTCAAGGCTAGCGGCACACAGAGAGTACAGGCTTTCAAGGATGGAGGCCTAGGATGGGTAGGCTCTGCTCTCCTGAGTGACTCAACAGCCTTACAACACCAACTTGGGAAAGGAAGCTTTCTTTGGTGATTTAAGCAACAAAGCTTCGGTAATCTTAAGTGGCATAATAAAATATGCACTTATAAGTTCTTTATTGCATGCTCCAGAAACAAGGATTCTAAAACCCTGAGGGAGAGAGGGAGCGATCTATCCATGAGGTCTCACAAGGCAGGACAGTGCGAGGCCTGTGGCACTGGTATACCCTCATTTGAGGTCCACCAGCTTTCCCAATAGCAAAGAGGCCCCAGAGGGGAGACAGGCATCCTGTGACCTGAGCTCAAACAGGAGGATTTGGGAAACAGGAACCAGAGGAAGGCAGTCAAGAAGCTGCCACTCTTGGTGTATAGGGAAAGGGTAATGGGAGTTGCCAGAGACCCCTGCAGTGGTCCTAGCCTCCTGCAAGCCAATACAACATCTGCGAGATAGGAAAGTGGGCATTAAGAGAAACACAGAGACAGAGGCTTGAGAGAAACTGAGTTGGGCTGATCTGAGCTGCTCTGGGCAGCAGACAACAGAGTCCCAGGACATCCAGTGTTTACTCATTACCATTGTGGGAAGGTGGGGAACTGGGCAGGCCTGGGGATACCTGCTGATAACGAGTATCAAGCAGGCAGGACTAGAGAATGAGGCACAAGCATATCTCTTTTTTTTTTTGTACCAGGGATTGAACTTGGGTCCTTGCGCTTGTGAGGCAGGCAGTGGAACCACTGAGCTAAATACCCAGCCCCAGCATATCTTTGCTGAAGAGAATAGACAGTTAATTCAGAAGGGAGGAATTTAGCTGGAGCTGAGTTGACCTTGGCTGGAAGTGAATTTAGCTGACTGGACTCTGATGTAACATGGCCAAATTATGGAGGACAAGAATCTTGTGCCACTATAAGCCTGCTAATACTGGGCAGAGGTGTCTGCTACCTTGGTGGACTTTGAGTATGAGCCTAGCCTGGACAACTCAGTGAGACCTTACTTCAAAATAAGAACTGAAAAAGTGCTGGGGAGGAAGCTCTGTGTGAAGGTTCAATCCCCAGTCCTCTGCAGCCATTCTGGGATATAGTAAAAGGAGAGACATGGAGACGGGGTAAGGCTGAGAGGAGAGCAGCCTGGGATGCAGGGCCAGCAGGTACTCAGCAGAGCGCAAGCTGTAGGGCCTGAGAACATGGCCACGCTCCCTCAGAGCATTGCTACCACTCACATGGGTGTCAGGAAGGACACATCCAGCATTTGTAGGAAGCACAATCTGTGGGTCACTCTGGAAAATAAGGAGCCAGAAGATGCCACACATCTTCCATGGGAGGTGAGATTTGAAACCATGAGTCCCTCATGGAAGGTGCCCATGGCCCCAGGCTCATACCACGATCACCCATCTAAATAAAGAACAGCTTTATTGGTGACGCAAGGGAGTCAAGGTCTCCTTTGTACCCTGCACTCCGGGTGCTATCAGCCAATCACACAGTTCGTGAGAGTTTGACAAGAGGTCAGACCTCTACCTCTAATTAGAAAAATTCCAAATCCCAATTACAGAATCAACAACGAGGTCAGAGCCTAGAGTCCTGATTGGCATCGGTGCCCCTGCCCGTGGGGGCTCAGGAGACTGGTTGAGTTGTTCAGCAACAGCCTTGAGGCCATGAAGATGAGGCAGAGGCTGGGAATGCTACAGGAAATTCCCCCAAGAGAGATGGCTCCCACTTGGGTGGGCACGGAGCCCTGCAGTTGCACTTTGGGAATGATGGGGTCAGGTGGCCGAGCAGGTCTGGGGAGGAGAGAGCCCTGCTCACTGGCCTTGGCCTGCCAAAGCTCCATGGTGCAAGCTCAGCAGGGCCACCATGGGCTGTCATCTGCCATGTCTCCTCACTGCTGGGACCTCTGCTTGGGTATCTTCAGGCTCTTGATGGGATACACGTACCACATCACCACCCCCGAAGGGTTGATGATCACTGTGAGGTTGGTTTCATCCCGGAGGTCTGTAATGATTTCACCCGAGAAGACATCTTGGGCCTACAGAGGGGAAGGGACACCAGAAATGTCAGCCTGAGAACAGCTGTCCAGAGATTCCCTCAGAGGATGGAGAAGCCTGGATTGGGCCTGCCTGCACTGGGACTCCAGTGTCCCCTACAGAAGTGGGAGCCCCAAATCTCCCCTCACTTGTTCCCAGCAAAGCTGACAGACATCCAAGCACAGGCAGCAGAAAAAGCCCCAGCCTGTGGAAAACCATGTCTGTGGTAGTGAGGGCTGAGCAGTGAGCAGCCTAAGATAAGGGGGCTCCTTTATACCCAGTGGCTCTGTTCTAGAAAACACTGGTGCAGAGAGAGACGCCCAGCGCATGCAGTGGCCCCATGGGTACCTTCCAGAGGCCTGGAAGCCCCGTGTGAGCGAGGACCACCCCAGCAACACCTGGCAAGGAAACAGGAAGTCAGAGGCTGGGCTTGGGCTGCAGGCTGCTGGCACTCACCTCATACACTCTTGACCTGGGGAACTGCAGCTGGCCCAGGGACGAGCGGTAGCGGTAAGGCATGTCTGTCCTGCGGCTGAAGAACACCAGGGCACTGGCCTCATCAGACAGGGGCCGTCTGAACACTTCAATTTTGGATTTTTCCTGGGCAAAAGATGGCTACTGGCTGGGGTCCCTTTCTAGCCTGCCTTTGAGCTCTCTTCCCCACCCAGCCCCAGGTCACACGTAGGCTTGGAGACAACGCCACAGCCCTGTAGCATCCCAGCTTATCTAACCCTACTTTCCTTCCCTGACTCAGCAAACGCTCACATGGACCCCAGGCCAGGCCCCGCTCTAGAACACAGAGGCAAATGCTGCATGTGGGGCCCTGCCTCAGAATCTCCTAGGAGGATGGGAACAGATGCTGAGACAGTGTACGAGTGCTGCCCGAAACTGCTGCCAATGCTGGGCTTGAGGGTGCACCCCATCCTGTGGATGTCTGTGTGCGCTGTGTAGGCCTGGGGAACGCTGCTTACATTTTGGAAGTCTCCGCTTCCTCATTTGGAAACCAGGGAAACAGTATGTACCTTGCTGAGAAAATGTATCTAGAAAGCCCAGCACATAGGAGGTGCTCAGTAAATAGGAGACACTAGTAGTAGGACAGCCCTAACTGTAACAATCCCGTAAATCCAAGAAGGAAGGCCTCATTCTCCACAGGACATCTCCTGTGTGTCCCTACCCTGTCATGAGCTGTCCTGAGCTGACCCTGCTTGCATCCAGGCAAGAGGGGGGCAGCTGGAGCTCCCAGCAGAGTCCTTGACTGCCTACAAGCAGGAAGTGACCGCAGACCCATCCCCATCCCCACCCTCAGGCTGGCAGCCTCCACCTCCAAGGAGCCCAGGTCTTTATCCCACCCTGTCGTTCCCCCAACATCCCAGTACCTTAAGGATCCTGCGTCCCTGGATGCCTAAGGGATCCTGGTTGATTTTGATCATGAGTGAATTCTGCAGAATGTCCACATTCTGGGGGGAGATGGTACGCAGGTCTGTGGACATGAAGAGGGGGGCCGCCAGCACCGTCCACAGGGCCATCTGGGCCCGGGCTTGCTCAAAGCTGAGGCCAAAGTTCCCAATGATCAGCTGGGGACAGAGGAAAGGAAAGTCGGCACTGCCCTCCTCGGGGAGATATGGGGCCATGGCAAGAGCAGACAGGGACTGGGGAAAGACAGCCATGTGAGGGGCCACGGCTTGCCACAACCCTGCGGACCTGGGGCAGGTTAGTCACCTTCCATATGTGCATCACCTGTCTCCCAATGAGAGCATTCGGTGATGGTCACCTGGCAGCGCTTCAGGCTATGGGTGGGGTCTTGCTGCCTAATCTAGAAATATACCCACGGTGGCACTGGTCAAAAACCAGACATGGACAGAACCCCTGCGCTTGCCACTAGCCATCGACCTGCCCTAGCCATAGCTGATTGGTCCAAAGGAGATTCTGACCCCAGGGGAACCAACCAATGCAGTCAGGACACAGAGTTATTGCTAGTGCAACATGGTACCGTGCTAGGTGACAGCAATTTAACTAAGGGCTTCGAGATGTTCTGGACACTAAGCCAGGCATTATAACATCATTTGACCCCCAAAATAGCAGGATTGAGGGCTACGGAAGACTGGGTAGGCTCTGCAGGATGGTAGGGTATAGAGTATTGAAATGGGGAGCCAGAGGCAGACAGGAAGAGGGCCAGCCAGGTGCCAAGAAGGACAAGACAACATGGAACAGGCACGATCTTGTCTCAGGAGAGGGTTGGTTGCTACAGACTGAGCTCTCTCTGGCTTTAAGCAACATCAGAATGGGCTGGGGATGCTGAACAACGGGCACTCTCAGGCCCTTCCTCTGAACATTTTGACATGAAAGGACCCAAGCTATAAAACATGGCCCTAAGACCAGTCTCATGCAGCCTGATGCACCCAGTTCAGGGACACATTTTCGGAATGCTGGTCTCCAACCTGGCAGCAAGTATCAGCGAAGGAAGAGAGCACGGGGTAGTGGGGAGCAGGGTCTTCAAGGCCAGTAGCCCTAGGAATGTCCCCCTTCCATGCTGAGTACCATGTCTGGGTCATTCCAGTGCCCAGGGCCGGCGACCGGCTGCAGAACGTCCTGGTGGAGCACAAACCAGTCCAGGATAGACAGCACGTCCTTCCAGGAGTCCTGGATGTCATCATAGTTACGCCACAGGTTGCAGATGTCAGCCAGCAGACTGTAGTTCACCTGGACTCAGTAAAAGGCAGAGTCCACACCACAGTCACACCCTGCCGCCTGGGGCCACCAGGGGCTGGGGAGGCCCCATAGAAGACAGAGGGTGGGGAGCGGAAAGAATACAGGTCGCCAAGCCTGTTCAGGACCAGGAAGCCCTCTGAGAGGGCAGCCCTGTTAAGGGGCTGCCCAGGCCTCCCCTCCATATATGCCAGGGCCAGGAGTCTACCCATTGCCGCCACGGGCCTCAGGTCCAGAGGTGTGAGCCCACCCTTCCTGGTGTCACATGTGCTGGGCAGGGGTGTCCTAGCGAGGTGTCTGGCCTCACCACCCTTCTGGATCTCCAGCACATACGGCTCTCCTCTCTCCTGCCTTAGATGGCAAGCCCTCCAGCCCACTCTGTGAGGGGCCTCCTCTTGTTCCAGGCCTTTGGCTGTCTGAGTCTCCTTTTAGGTACTATGACCCTTGCTCTGGATACTCACAAGTCAGCATGTGGACAACTGTAGTGGGCGCAGCCCTGGCTCTGGCAGTGATGTCCCTGAGCCTGGCACCCAGGGGGGTGAAGAGGCCTGGGCTGGGGAGCCCTGGCAGATGGACGTACAGAACAGCTTACCTTGGGGGGAAGGCCTCCTTCGTAGGCTGGCCAGCTGCAGGAGAAGGCGATGGGGCGGCCCGTGGCATTTAGTGCAGCAGCCATCATGGGGTACCCTGGAGAAAGCCCAACCCCCATGGGGGGCCTCAGCTCAAACCTTGTCCCTCCGTCCATGAGGAAACTGAGGTTCCTAAGAGGAAATGCCTCCCCTGTAGCCAGAGCCTCAAAACTTCCTCAGCGGGCTGTGGTGCCAGCCCATCCCAGGGACTGGGCACCACGATCCTTTCTGCTCCTGGGTGAGGAGACCGTGAAAGCCACTACCAGCCCCATACAGATCAAGCTCCCACAATGACCCTGATGGCACCAGCCCACTGTAACCCACCTTTGGCCCGATCCTCTGCGGTTGAGAAGCAGCCATCTAGCTTGAGCATGTCCACCTTCCACTCGGCGAAGGTTTGGGCATCCTGCTCCACTCTGTCTAGTGTGGTGCCCGGGTAACCCATGCAGGTTAAGTTGCCCATGTCCTCATAGATGCCCAGCTTCAGGCCCAGGGAGTGAGCCTGGGGGGGGACAGTGGGCTGGGGTGGGACCTTCAGAGAGACCACTCGGGTACATCTGACCAAGATACCTTAAAACCTTCAGAGCTCCTGCTGATCAGAGAGAGGCCCCAGCTTTCTGCCTGGCTGCATCTCTGGCCCACCCACCATCCAGCAGCACCCCTCCCACGGGCCTTGCATTGCCTCTTGGACAGCCTCAAAGGACAGCTCTCTGCGATCAGCTATGAACCGTCTCCTCCAGGAAATCTTCCTGGAGTTCCAGGCTGAGATGCCCTTTCTAGCTCTCACTATAACAGGCCAAAAGGAGGTGCTCATTTGTGAGTCTCCTGGGTTGGAGGCATTGCCAAGCAGGGACTATGTAAATGCACCCCAAGTAAGGTGGGAGGGAAGGAGAGGTGTGGCCCTTAGGCCAAGGACCAGGGCCAGGCCAGGGCTCACATAGTCAGCCAGGAAGGCAATGCCATGGGGGAAACGCTTGGAATCAGGCATCAGGCAGCCTTTGGCATCGCGCCCACCAATCCAGCAGTCATCGATGTTGAGGTAGACATAGCCCAGGTCCCGCCATCCGTCCTTTGCCAGCCGGTCAGCCATCTCCATGATGAGGCGCTCACTAGGAAGGAGCAGGAGACGAGGCCACTCAGTGGCCCAGTGTGGCCATCACTCTTGCCTTTCCTCAGCTCTGAGTGTGAATCTGGGCCATAAAAACCACAGTTGTGAGGGAGCCAAGGATGAAGCAAGACAACAGTGTCAATGACCCTGCAAGGATGTCAGGAGCCATAAGCAATGCGGGGTAAATGAGTGTTCTGGGCCCAGACCAAGGGGCAGGACTGGGCAAAGGAGAGCATGGGGGCGGTTCTGCCTGCCCTTTAAGTTCTTTTTCCAATTATCTCGGAGGCCAGGTACTCCACGAGGTCCCTGCCACACAGATGCCCCAGGCAAGTCACAAGGCTAGTGTCAGATGTCCCCAATGTCACTTGTGCCTGACCTTGGCCTCTTTGTCAGCTGGACCCCATCTCCCTGCCCCTAGCTCTGCAGGCTTTGGGCAAGGCTTGTTGGGTGGGTGTGGCCCTCATTCACCTGATGCAGTTCTTTGGGTCCTCGTCACAGTCTATGTTACAACGGAAGCGTTCCCAGGACAGCCAGCCCATGGGGGGTGTCCGCAGGAGCCCGTTATCCAGCACCAGCACCTGGGCCACCAGGGCCAGCAAGAGCACTGAGGTGGGAAGGATAGGAGACAGCATGGTGACCGATGGCTCCCACAGCCACGGCCCTTATCCCACCCATCCGCTGCTGCTCAGCCAGGCAGAAGCTGCCTGCACACTGGGGGAACCAGCCTCCTGGGATTAGGGTAGATCTGGCTCTTCCTGTAACAGCTGCCCAGTGTGGTGCAGTACGTGGGGGTGGTGCCGGGGAGGGGAATGCTGGCGATGTCTGGCTCCTCACTTGCTGTTGCCACGGGAGGGTGGAAATTAGCAAAGGAAAGCACTTAGTCCTGTCCTTCCTAGTCATCCAACCAGCTCCCTCCATCATACACAGGACTTGACAGTTCACTGTGGATCCCAGACTCCAGGTGTCCTAGTCCCCGGTCCAGGACCTTTTGCTCCCACCGCAGTCCCCAGGGAGGGCTCAGAAGGAATCAAGAGGTCCGTGAGGGTGGACTAGTACCCCGCCTGCTCCCCTGGGTGACCCCTTTCCCTCAGGGGCTACAGTTTCCTTCTGTGTAAGTTACAGTGTCCCTTTAGAGGGCTGGAATCAGCACCTGTTGGTATATATGACAGGGCCTCTTGCATTTGAGGGAAAGGAGGTGAAAAAGGAAGTGGCCTCTTCAGAGAAGAGATTCCTGGTGGGGAGCGTTAACTTTTCTAGACCAGCTTCAGGAAAAAGAGGAAGACGATTCCCCACAAAACCCAGGTCAGGGAAGAAGGGCGCTCACCAGAGGGCTGGAACTTCCTCCACGGTCCCCCCACAGCATCCCCAAAGCCACCGTGTAGGTGTAGGTACCTATCTTCAGAAGCATTGCTTTAGACTCAGCGCCTCAGAACCTGCTCAAATATGCTCTGCTCTTATCAACTTTATATGCTGGATCCTGGAAAATAAGGCGCGTTAGAAAACACTGAGGTCACGGCTGCCTCCTATCCCTGCCGCCAGCCCAAGCCCCAGCCCCAGCCGTCACTTCCCGAAGCCTGGGCTCTTCCTTTAGCTGTTCTAGGCAGGGTGCCTTGGACGTTAGACCTCATACCCTCCCGGGGGCGAGCGCCTAGGGTGCCCTCTGACAGGCCAGGGCCAGAAAGGGACAGCGACTGGCTCCAGGAAGAACCGAAGAGCTGGGGCAGGACTAGGGTCCCTATTCCCATTCGGGTCGGAATTCCGGCCCTCGGCCCCCAAGGACGTTAAGCACAGGGTCACTGCACCGGGATCACCGAGACACACTCACCCACCGTGGCGCTCAGACTGCGGCCCGCAGACTTCGGCCTCCAGAACCTCTGGGGCTCGCGTCACCTGATTCGCTCTTTTCTTTCCTGTGGGGGCGGGGCCTGTAGGCGACAAGCCTTCCGACTCAGCCTATCAGAATCCCTAGCAACGCCGTGCCCTGCTCTTTATGGGCCCGATCCTCCCAACGCCCCGCCCTTCGAACGTCCCTAAGCCTCGCCCCCACCCGCCTAGAGCTGGCGAGGAGTGGAGCATCCTTAGGGTCTGGGCACCCGCTTGGCCCAGCGCAGTGCCTTTGGCGCCTGAGCGACCCAGGAGGGCGCGGAGACTGCTCCGAGGCGCACAGTCAATGGCTGTGTAGTGAAGGAGGTGTGACAGAAAGGCCTGAAGCAAGGCCCCCGGCAAACCGCCTTAAAAGGACAGTGGAAGGCCAAGCGAAGCGGCACAGACCTGTGTTCCCAGCTCTCCGAAGCAGGAGGTTGGAAAGTCGGATCCCAGCCTGGGCAATGGTCCACACTTATCGAGACCCTGTCTCAAAAAAGAAAAACGGGTTGGAGATGTAGGCAAGCGCAAAGGCCCTGGGTTCCCAAGTAGAAACACATAGAGGTAGTAACACGAGGGGAGGGGGAGAGGGGAGAGGAAACAGGCTCGGGAGGACTGAAAGCAAACCAAGCAGTGGCAGCACAGCTCTGGAAGTCAGGAGGCTCCTCTCCCCCAACCCAACAAGGGGACAGGTCTGCTGGCCCAGGCACACCACAAACTTGTCCCCTCATTCGAGGGTTTATTGAGCACCTGCCAAGTGCTGAGCACTATTTGAGACACCTTTGCTCTGACAGCCGGTGGATCTCAAACACGATGGCCCTAAAGTGAGCAAACACCTGCCACCCTCCATCTCTCAGGTCATGGCAACGCCGCTTCTGGGGACTCGGGCCCAAGAGCTTGGAGTCCTGGGTCCTCTTTTCCTCACCCCTCGTGTTCAATTCCTCCACAGATCCTGAGCTCCCATCCGAGCCTGGCCGCCTCTCGCATTCTGGTTGCAGCCCCCCACCCCCGCCTGTCTCCTGCCTCCACCTATAGTTACTCTTTCCACAGCAGCCCAGCTTGGGTCGCCCCTGCTCCAGCCCCTGTGACAGCTGCTGTCTCGGAATTGGAGATGGCTAAATTAGGTAGAGAATGCTCGGCAGTTAGAAAGGCACTGGGCCCAAGGTAGAGCCAGAGTAGAGATGAGGCCCACCAGGCCTATGGCCAAGGGCTGAGCTGATAGGAATGGGGCCCCAAGATGGAGACAGGTGGCTCGGCCCTCCAGCTTGCCTGGAGATGAACAGCAGCTCAGAGCTGTGCTGTAAATGGCGTCGTTAGTCCAATGAGCCTGAACCATACAACAGACATGCGAAAGATGACCGGAGCACTCTGACACTCACTCCTACCTGTCAAGAGTCATTCTACATACTTTGGGGGGGAAATCATTTCATAATTAAATCATGATTAGGACTGTCTGAGGCCCAAAGTCACCTTGCCTGCTAGATGGCTGTGGTTTGAGGAAACAGCTCCGTGTATCTCACAAGCTGAGGCTTCAGTGGTCCTGTGATGTTGTGACACTCAAGGGCATGGTTACCTCAACAGAAGATACCCTGGTTCTTCGAGAACCAAGTAGTAAGAGAGAGAGAGAGAGAGAGAGAGAGAGAGAGAGAGAGAGAGAGAGAGAGAGGGAGGGGGAGGAAGAGGGAGAGGTTTCAACTGGGCCAAGGACAAATCCCTTGTTAGCCAGCTAGCTTGTCCCACTTACGCTCTTCTCACCATCCTCATCAACATAAGATTACTGGTGACCTCTGAGTCACTCCATACTCCCTGCAATTATTGTGTGTACCCAATAAATAATGGTTAGCTCGGAGTGTCTTGGTCTTTGCCCAGTCTGGTACTGACCTCCCAAACCCAATGTACTTCAAAATTAGGTCTCCATTGTCTTCTTTCTTTAGCAATTATATCCCCATTCTCTAGGCAGCCTCTGATACTCAAACATGGTAGGCCCCAGGGCCTTTGCACTAGCTGTCTTTCTCTAGGCAGCCTCTGATACTCAAACATGGTAGGCCCCAGGGCCTTTGCACTAGCTGTTCCTCCTGCCTGGAATGCTCTTCCTCAAGGTATTTCTTTCTAACATCCTTTCAAAATTTTGTCAAATAATGGTATATTCTCAGTGAGGTCTACTCTGATCATTCTGTTGTGCAGGCCTGAGGGACAAGGAGATCCAAAATAGCAACTGTGCCAGGTGCATAGATAAATGAAGAAATGAAGACCTCAGTACAGAGTACATTTATTACCGTTGTCAGAGAATCCTAGAGACAACAGTGGCATTTTAAGGTTCCATACTGTGCACATTCACCCTGCTACCTGGCCACCTGGCTATTTCCAAGACAAGACCTACAGGGTGGGGGCCCTGGCCTCCAGTCCAGTGAGAGCAGAAAGGGACACATTCTTTAGAGACCCACCCACTTTGAGCAGGACCTCATGCAGGTTAGAGCTTTTTCTTTCATACATTTTTTTTGGAAGTTTCTTAAAGTGATTAAGGCCCCTGAGGGAACACTGACCACCTGAAAAGAACAGGGGAGAGATTTTGAGATATCGACATTTCAAAGCAACTCCTAAGAAAATGTGGATGAGTGTGCGGTATATGTTGTGAAACTAAAATGATAATCATTATAGTTCCCTGAACCCCCAAAATGAATTTCCTGCGCATTACACAGATATCCAAGTTCACCCTCAGGGCAGGCGCCTGTGTGGCAGGGTCCACTTTCTCCTTTGTTGGCACAAATCTCCCCACACCTGCCTTTCCAATCGACTCTGCCTGTATTTCTGGACAGCTCCCTGTTTGTCTTGACTGAATTCTTTCATCAAAGGCAGAAAGGACAGGAGAGTCTGACTGACTTCTCATGGCATTAGGATGGGACATCCCGGGTGACAATTCTAACAAAAATGAGAACCTCCCAGTCGGGTGTGATTTGCACACCGGCAATCCCAGAATCCTGGGAGGCTGGGGCAGGAGGATCACCATTTGGGGCCTACCATGATCTTGTCTCAAAAACACCAACAAAAACAAAAACAACCTTCCCAGTGCCACGACTCCCGTGTATTCTAGTTTATATTATTTATTATAGTTCAAACTCCCAACAGAATAAAATTTAGTAAGAGACGCACACACAAAAGCATGAGCGTAGGGCAGTTTACTGCAGTGGTTGGTGCGGTAATGAAAATGCAGCCCAGATGTTACAGACACCTGGGTCAGGGATGGCCTGAGAGTAGCTCAGTGGTACAGCATCTGTCGAGCAGGAAGGGAGGCCCTGGGTTCAATTCCCAACAACCTAAGAAAGAGCAAAAGAAACCTTAATGTGGACTACTGGGGTCGTCAGGGAGGGGACTTAACTGAGGTGGGACAGGAAGCAAAGTGGCCCTGAGGCTGGGGTGGGGTGAAAGGGCAGCCGGTGCAGCTTGCAGGAACTGCAGGGCCAAAGGCTCGGAGGCAAGAAGCCACAACAAGCTCATGAGGTTTGAGCACAGGGGCTTCCAGGGCCTCGGAAAGCCCCAGCCTCCTGTGTCCGCGTCACTGCCATCCATACCTACATGGGCCTAGATGTCCTCTAAGGACCAACTCCGGAAGGGCCTGGGGTCCGGAGTAGATCGCTAGCGGCAGAAGTCAGCGCAGGGCTCAGGAGCATAGTTGGGGCAGCTTGTCAGGGGTTTGCAGGCTGTGGCAGGAGCTCGCTCTTAGGAGACTTCGGGGTCAAAGGAGGGCCCAGTTTGGTTCTGTGGGACAAGAGGGTGAGGATGGGGAAAGAGGATTCCGAATTCTCCGGGATTCTATGGAATTCTCTGGCAGTGGGCTGGGCGGGAGGCCGGCGGACAGCCTGAGGTGGGGCCTCGGGTTCGACACCGCCCCTCCACTGAGCGGCTGTGTGGCCCAGGCAGGTCCCCAAGCCCCTGGGCCTCAGTTTCCCTCCTGCGTGGATCCAGAGCCGGCTTCGCGGCTCCCAAGGCCTGGTGAGTCCGGGCGGGGAGTGGCCGGGGCG